CCCTTCATCACTTTCATCTGGCTTCTGCCTTGTTAACGCTCTTGTCCACAAGCCCCTAGCAGCCGGGGACACTGCCCTCTCCTTTCTTCCTGCCTCTCACCGCTGTGCTCCTGCTTCACTGACTGCTCTCGACTGGTTCTCGCCAGCTCTCGTCTTCCATCTGACCCCTGAATGGTGGTGCGCCCTGGGACTTGGTCTTTTGTCCTTACAATAGGTCTTTTTGGGTGGTGGGATCTAGTCCCGGGCTTTACCCCTCCTCGCGTGCATTGCCTCTCCAAGGTGGCTCTGTGGCCACTTCTCCTGAGTTCCGTCGTGCCTCCCGGACATCTCAGCCTGGCCGGCTGCTGGACAGCGCAGATGCACTGTCTAGTCAGACTCTGGCTCTTTCAGAGCTCGCCGCTCCCCTCAGCCTTCCGCAGCCCCCTCGTCTGTCCTGTGGCTCAGGCCGCAAACCTCAAACTCAGCCTGAGTATCTTCGGGTCTTTCTTGACATCCATTTTGTCCGCAGTTTCTGCAGTCCCCCAATCTCAGTGACTTTCCATAGAAGACACTTATTTTTGTTCACATGAGAATCAGAAGATGTGTTCCCACCTAGTGTGCCATATCCTCCCCTCAAGTGGTCCGTTGAGGGCCCAGGCTCTTTCCCAGTGTGGCTCTGCCCTCTTTTAGGCCCAGTGTCCTCTGCATTCCCTGGTGGGTGGAGAGAGCTGACAGGATCACTTGTCGAGGCCACACCTGGGTGTGGTGCCTTATCCCTTCCACTGCAGTTACCCTGGTTGGCTCTTCATGTCCACCTGGCCGCCCATGTCTGGAAGAGAGGCTGGCTTGTGTAGTTGCCAGGTCTCCAGAAAGAAGTTCTGTTCTTGGTGATCTAATAGGCTGATCATGGTGGTCATGGGCTGATCTAGTAGGGCCCACCTATAACACCTACACACGTTCTTACTCTTCACCGTTGCTGTAATCGTAGTTGATGCTGCTTTCATTCATGTCTCCACTGCACTAATATCCTCTCTGCTGGTCTGTCTGTCTTATACTCTAGTCTCCGCATGGAAGCCAGAGTAAGTTCTTCACGTCCCTGTGTAGTACTCTCTAGTACCTTCCTGTTATGCACAGTATTCTCTAGTATCCTAGTATTCTCA